GCCTCTAAATGCCTTGTAAGTAGTGGAATCACGGAGTTGTCATTTGATTTCTTCTGCATAATGATGATAGTCCATTAAAACAATGCCTCCCCCTTGTCGGCAGGACGTATCACTATACTGGGATCTTTGGCAAGGTTATCTATGAGTTGGCGTTGTCTTCTAGTAATATTGTGTCGCCTGCAATTTGATTGTTGCATAACTTCTGTTGTTTCATAATTTGCCTTATTTGTTTGAGGATCAAAGTTGGATTTGGGTCTGAATTGAGTGTAAGGTTCAGTCTGCTCTTGAATCCCTGATGATGATTTATGGAAGAACTCTTGCAATCACATAGTTCTGGAATACTGGAATAATTCTACGTTCCAATGGAATTTATTTGGATTGGCTGTGGGAACAAATGAAAGTCCTAAACTCTTGTAACTCTTCAGGGATTAAATGAAGTTGTGAGAGGTTAAACACAGGAATTATCTCCTGAGTGAGGGGTTTTCCACGGGTGATTTGTTTTCCCCTTACTGCTTCTTCTCAATATACTCCGTTTGTACTTCTGCCGCGTCTCCTTGTAGTAATGCCCATCGTTGAGGTTCTGTCACGACAGTGACCTCTACACGCAGAGTGTAAATAGAAAGTGACGTATACCGGACCTTAGAATGGCCGGACTCAAATGCCAAGGAGTAGTCGAAGAAAAAGCCAAGAGTCAAGGGAGTATGGAAAGCAGGCACACCAGAATAACCAAGCAAAAATCAGAAAAACAGAGAGAAGAATAGTCAGAGGAAAAGCCAAAAGTCAAATACCAGTAAATACAAATAAATTATCTGAAGAGCACAAAAGGGAACTATTAAGAGCCACAATAGGGCGCTGAACAATTGAAAAAGGCGCCTTTTTATAGTGTAGTTCCTTTAGCTTTAAATCCACGCCCCCAAAAGGTCCGGGGCGTGGTAATGTTTAAATACCCGCGGGATAATTTTGCTGACGTCGGCGCGCATCCGAGAGACTGTGCCGCCTCCCAGAAGCAAGAAGAGACGACGACGCCCTGCGCGGGTCCGGAGGGAAAAGGTAAGGTATCGTTGCAGGTTCCTAGAAAAGTGGTGTTGTCATTGTGTGGCTCTGAATCAGACGCTGATTCTCCAGACGTTACGTCAACTGTAGGTATATT